ACCGACAAGATTAAAGTCATTTAGCAAAGGCTTAAAACTGCACAATACCGACCAAAGAGTTATGCAGATCATAGAAGAAGGGTTCTTGAGTATGAAACCGGTGATCATGTGTTCATTCACGTGATTCCGATGAAAGGCTAGTCAAGATTCGACAAGAAGGGCAAGTTGTCACCCCGATATATTGGCCCATTTTAGATTTTGAAAAAATTAGGTCCAGTTGCATATCGAATTGCTCTACCACCAGGGATGGAACACATACATAATGTGTTCCACATGTCGATGTTGAGGGGTTACCTTTGAGATCTATTCCATATTATTGATTATCACCGGATAGCTCTCGATGATAATATAGAATATGAAGAAAGACCAATCCAAATCATTGATCGACAAGTAAAATAGTTGAGAACTAAGGCGATCCTTATGGTTCAGGTGGAATGGAAGGAACATTACGATATGGAGGCAACTTGGGAGAAAGAGGATGAAATTAGGCAAATGTATCCCGAATTGTTTTTGACTCAAGGTAACATGAGTTTGGAGGACTAAACTTCTTAAAGGGGGAAAGACTGTGATAACCCCGTCACGTATTATGCTCTTAATCATTGATTTTGAATGTTATTTAAGTGCTTAGTGTGAATTTGAATAGTAATTATGTCTTTAATGTGATTTTTGGATTCATGTCTGTTAATCGTAGAAATATCTGTTGTGATTTCTGTTATAATCTGAAATTGAAGGCATTAATGGCATCAGAAACCTAAGTTGGTTAGTTTATTGTGAATGACATAATTTTTAGAGCCTAATAGGTGGTTTGATTAAAATTTGATTCATAATAAATTAATTAGATTAAATCAATTGAATTAAGTTTTTGATTAATTAACTTAAGCTCTAATTACTTAGCTCAATCCTTGATTAGTGTATTAAGTTAATTAAGCCTATATATATGTTAAGAATGAGATTAGGCTCATTATTTTAAACTCAAAAATCAGTTGAGGACATCTTACACACACACACACACAGCGAGAGAGAGAGAGAGAGAGAGAGAGAGAGAGAGAGAGAGAGAGAGAGAGAGAGAGAGAAAGAGTTCAATTGTATAGAGAGAAAGAGCTTGATTTGAAGATTTGGCTTGGAGATTGTGGAAATTGTAAGAAATAACTCAAGAATTGACTAGATAAGGCTTGATTCAAGACTTTAGGTGAGTAATTAATCCTTAATTCATGAATTTAAATGACTTATTATGTGAATTCAAATAGATTATGTGATTAACGGAGAGAATTGAGCTTAGAATGAAGAAATTGGTGTTGAATCATACATGCATACATAAATTAGTAGAGTTTCACACTTTTTAACATGATTCACGTCATCTAAGTTTGAATTGAAGGTTATATCATCCATACATTCATGATTCATAAGCTTTTGAAGTTGAATTCCATGTTTTGAGAGTTTTGGAAAATAATTTGAAGTTAACTGAGTCATGCATGGTGAATTCAAGAAGTTTTGAGCTTTGATTTTGCAAAATTGGTTTTGTATCCATGTTCTTAAGTTTCTAAGTATTTTCAAGGTTTTGACTAAGCCATGCAAGTCTTTGATTTGAAAATACATGTTTTGAAGTTCAAGCTGTGTCTGGAAAATCAAGAATTCGATCGCATTGCTCAAATGAACAAGTTGTCGCTCGAGTGCACATCTTATGTATCTAGTATTTTTGCAGACATTGGTAGTTGGCTCGAGCGACCGAGTGACCACTCGAGCGACCACTTTTTTATTTTGCACCTTGGCTCGAGAAATCATTGAGCCTAGATTCAGACCATCCAGTACTTTTGCAGACCATGTGATCCGCTCGAGCAACCAATGTTGCGCTCGGGCGAAGTGCTCTGTTTAAGTATATTTTGATCACGTGTGCATTCTCATCCCTCGCTGAGCATTCTTAGGTATGATTTGAGCATCCTAAATGAATTAAGGAATTAGAGAGAAGTCTAAGAGAATTGAATAAGTTAGTGAACGGTTTGAATAAGTGATGTGACCCAATAAGTGTATGTGTTATGAATTGTGTAAGTTCATTCGCGAAGTCGTATCAGCAACCAAATCATTGTGAGTAATATCTTAGTAAATATATGTTTATGTATCTTATTTTCTAAATGATACCAATGTGGTAAGTTTTCTTAACTTATGATTTCGTGTTATGAATGGGCCCTCTATCTGTCTGATTCGTAAAAGATCTGTAAATGCGATTGACAAGCATGAAAGCATATGATAGACCTAAGGTCGTTTTGTACAACTGAAATGGACCAAAGGTCGTTTTGTATATCTGATAAGGTGGACCTAAGGTCGTTTTGATTATCTGATTCTCTGTACATCTGATAAGTTTGAATATCTGTTATGTGTTAACGTAATGGTCATTTTACAACTGTAATTAAATGCACTCGAGGTTGTTATACCCGAGGTTGTTCCGAAAAATATAATCTGTTCTGCTTTGTATCTCTGTATATGTTGGACTTGAGATCGTTCTGTCATATATTGGACCCGAGGTCATTTTGTTATGATACGAAACTATTATGAGAATGATTTTATTTGAGTATTAGAACTCATTCATATAATCACTTTACTTTGATATTATTCACTATGGTTTTGCTCACTCCGTTATATATATGCATGTAGGTGAGCAGCGGGATGTCCAGCTCCAGCCCTAGTGAACTTGTGGAGGAATATTTAGTTTTTGTGAAGTCAGCCAAAGATGCCTCACACACGAGGCTTTGATCTTTTGATTTTTTGTTTTCTTTTGTTGGTTATGTTTGACCACATATGTATATAAGTTTTGGTTTATATGTTAATGACATATGTATGAACTTGGACATGTGACATTTCTTATGTATGTATGGGTGTGAGTTATTAATATATATATAAGATGTTTTTGTTCATACTAATTATGCACAAGCTCATTGGACAATTTTATATTTTTGCTTATGCTTCTAGCCCCATATAATTAAATATGATTTGATTTCTGTTTGAGATCGTAGGTAATCTCATGATTATTAGCCGGCTATGATCCTAACCTCGAGAGGCGGGTTTGGGTCGTGACATTAAGTCTATCTCCATTGTTTTTTCTTATACTTTCAAGATTTATTGAGATTGATTGGTTGCTATTAGGATCTCTATCTCTCTTCCCCCATTTCTGTAGTTAGTAGAGGCCTGTATAACGACTTTGGCCAAACCCAAATTGTTTTTCTTTGATTTTATGTGTTAGAAACCCAAGCATGGTTTCTTTTATGAGAAGAATAAGTTTCTCTCTTCCTGAACCTATTTTACATGGATTTGAGTAGTTTACGCTCTTTTTCATAGTAAGAGGATGGGAATCTTCCTCATCGTATAAGAGTTTCCCCCCTCTCCCCCCATTTTCTTCCATTTTAACTTTGATGATATAGAAGGCTGGATATGGCTTCCTCTACGAGAATGGATTGGATCTCCCATCTCATCATTGCCTCTCATGGATTTAGGTAGCTTATACTCATTTTCATGTATAAGAGGGTGATAACCTCTCTATCCTCGTTGGAGCTTCATTTTTCCTCATTTTCTTAGCTTCCATTCATTACATTGTTGTGTGCGTTGGGCGAATTTCTCTTCTCCTTACCCTTACTCTTTGCTCTTTTACTTTTTGATCGCTTAGACTTGATTTTGTTGTCATCATGATCCCATGATATTAGTATAGGAACATGCATCCAAGCTTAGACCATTTTTTTTTTATGATAAACTATGTGTTATGTGGTTTGTTGACATTAATGTCATCTTGATAGTGTCCAAAGTCCCTTAGGATTCATTGCATGCAATTTTTTGCATTAGATATCGCATCTAGGATCATGCATTTTCTATTTTAGCTTATTTTCAATTTTCTCGTAGTTGGAGTGCTTTGTAAGCATTTCCATCCTTTCATTTGCATATCATTTAGTTTAGTATCTAGGATCATGCATTACTTTCTAATCCTTTACACTCTTGGTATGGTGCAGAGGAGTACTAGATGAGTCTCTTTCGTCTTTGCATCTTGATTGTGATTGATTCTTATTATGTCCAGCATGCTACAATGAGGCTATGTGTTTATTTGCTATATCTCTCTTATTGCTCATCGTATAGAGGTCTAATTGCCTAGGTTGGAATGATTCTGATTTCTTTGCAGGACGGATGTCTCAATTTTTTTATTAGATTTCTACCTTATTAACTCTCTTTTCTTATAAAAAAAAAAAGAAAATAGTGCGAAGTTAGAACATTCCAAAATAGGTGATTTGGTCTATACTTATTTCCTTCACGTAGTAAAGATAGCAAAAATAATTAGATTATATGATCATGTTGTGTTAATAATTTCTATATCATGAAATAGTAAAGGCTAATCTTTGATCAGATGAGTGGGAATGCTCAATTCATGACCTTCTCTTCTCATACCTAAGTTTTTTGGTCGAGACACTTTAGTTACGTTGGATCATGGCCTTTGGGTACAAGTCACGGGTTTTCTAGTTTTTTTTTTCTCTAAAAGATTAGGTAACGACCTTGAATCTAGTAATGTAGTTCATTTTCGACATTTCTTTTGATTAGTAGATTTTCTATAGATTTGTCAGATTTAGATTTTCATTTCGTTTCACAGTGTATTTGTGGAACCAAACTAAGGACTCAAACTATCGGGTGCACTAACATTTCCCGTCCGGGAGATCCTACAACTCGCTACATCAACCATAGTGCAAATAGAACACCACGTAGCGCTGTCACTGGATCAACCATTAACTTCTCCATGAAATATGTCTTAATGAGGAGTGATTATTGGATGCTTCAGAACTATGATCACATCGTGCTATAAGTTGTTGCGATTAGTGAAAAGAATAAGACTTATAATTTTGTATTGATGAATATAATATATAATAATTAATGAAGAAGTATGAATAAGCTGATTCAGACCATTAAATAAATTTTTCTTGGTGAGGAAGACGCCACGTCAAAATTCAATTTTCCAATGACTTAAACCGACTATCTCTCTGTTTCTCTCGAAAGCCAAAATGCATGGCTACACGTTTGGTTGCTCACTTGTTCAGTCATTGAGAAAACTCAAACTCCTCTCCCTCTCCGATCCTCTCACTTTCCCATTCTTCCATTTCCATTCAACTAAAATTCAGCATTCTCGTGTTGGGTATCAAATCATGAATTTGAATAATGATTCCCATTTCAATTCCAAATACGGATCAACTTCTTCTTCTTCTTCTAGGGCGGCGATGGTGTATCAAGTCCCCGGAGGACTGAGTTCAGACGAAATGGACCGAATTGCCGGACACACCATTCAAAGATACACTGACTCGCATTCGCATTCGCGTTCAATTTCACAGAGAAGTGGTAAGGGAATCGCCATTGTTTGGTTCAGGAATGATTTGAGGGTATTGGACAATGAGGCTTTGTTCACTGCCTGGTCTTCCTCTGAGGCCGTTTTGCCCTTGTATTGTGTTGATCCTCGACTTTTTCATACCACCCATTACTTTGCCTTTCCTAAAACTGGAGGTAATAATATAATACCCTACAACCACTTCCTTTGTTTTTTTTTTCTTCATTCATTCAGTTTCAATGATTTTTATTTTTTATATATTTTTTTTCTTTCTTTTATTCCAAATTCAAGGGCAGTTTTTAATCATGTAATGTAAGTTCTTCTAAGTTACAGAAGCAGAACAGAAAATAAGGGTAAGCATTAATGAATCCACCTAAAAACTGTGATACCCTTGTTGAGAAATAAACCAGCGCCTAAGTTCACATGAAACACATAATATGCGCGCGCGCGCACACATACACACATAATATAAATGCATAATATTTAATGTGGTTCGGCGCAAATGGCTACGGGTCACGTGAGAGATGGGTAAATCGCTATGAATAATAATAGAGAGGAAAATGGTAAACTGAAAATATACTAATCTGATACCTATTCCCGAGATCCCTGGTTCAAGAGTAATTGAGTACTTGAGCCTCAAGCCTCTTTGGCTTCCTGCCCCACTGGTATTTTATCTCACACCCCTCACCTCTCTCACACACCCCTTTTAAACCTCTGACTCTCACTACACTAGAAAGACTCCAACTCTCACTCTCAACTCAACCCATCCCATACACCCATATATATATACATGAGATGGTTGAAGTGATAGACAAATAAACCTTTTGAGCTTCTCAAAAGCTGATACACATTTCAAAAAATATCACGTCTTTAACAGTCAATGCTGGTGGCTCCATGTACGCACGGCTGGCAGCCTCTTAGAAAACCGTGCACTTAGTTCATCAGTGAATCCCGTTGCATTTTTGTTTACAATACCAACTTCCATATTAAATATGCTTCTTCCAAGAAAAACTTAATTAGGCCCCAAAGCCTCCTTATACCTCACAACTTCCAAAACCCAAAAAAAAAAAAAAAACCATTTTAATATTCCGCGAAAATTATTCATATGGACGAAAAACTCAACAAGCATCTTGCCTTCCCTTCCCTTCCTCAGAACCCACTTTAGTAGGAGCTTCTTGGGCTGCCTTTTTAAAATTTTTTTTTTTATTTTCTTAGTTTGTTATGCTCGTGCTTGGGTGTTTCTAATTGCTCCGAGAGGGATCAAGTCTATAGAAGTTCTACGGGGTGTGTTTAGACATGCACATGAACTAAAATGGCACCACCAACATTGTACCCTGCAATTTGGATGTGAACAGTTTTTATCTTGTATGAAGACGTTGCAAAAAATGGCTGGCATCTCATTAACGAGTTAGAAAACAATCACGTCATGGAATATGGTTTTTAATATATATATAGAGTAATGAATTTGGGAAAAAGTTTAATTCCATTCAAATTTAAGGAGATGTCCAAACTTGCCCTAAATGTGTTGTTTAAGATTGAGGTAAAAATAATATTTTAGGATTTAGATATTGAGCCATATAATTGGACCTTATTTGTTGCTATAGTGATGGCTTCACAGTTGTCGCCAAATTTTGCATAAAAATGGTATGTAGAAGATAATGCAATATTTCAATTTCAGGGAGCTTCCTGTTGTCCATTGTGTTTCTTTTTTATTGTTCTTTAGTTTAAGGCATTGAGAGAAAGGGGAATTGAATGAGGCATTGAGAAAAGGCATGATTAATTTGGATTTAATTGAGGATATGACTGAACAGAGCCAAATGAGTTAATAGATCCATGTAGCCCTACGAAGCAAGGATGCATTCCCTAGGGGGATGTGATGTATTTGTGTTCGACCCATGTTAGACACAGTCATGCATTTGACACACACCGATTTGTGTTGGATACGTGTTTGACCATGTACTATTATATATATATATATATTTGCTGGACACGTGCTAGACATGTTGGCAATATACGTGTTCGAAATCTAAACAAATGTAGGACAACTTGCTGTATTTTTTAAACAATGGCTATTTGAGGGCTCAAACAGTGAGTAATTTAGGGTTTTAATGGTTGAATTGAAAGGCACTAGGTAGAAAAAGTGATTAGGCTTGATTTGGGGGGTGATTAGTAGGGCTGAGCAACGAAACCAAAAAAATCACATTTTAGTCCAATCTAGATCAAATAACACATATTGGTTTGGTTTTCTCAATACATGGCTGGTCTTGGTTCTTAAAATAGGTGACTGCATGGTTTGGTCCTTGGTTTTATGGTTACATAATTGGTTTGGAACCAAACTTTACTGTTCTGATATACATGTATGGATGTATTTAATTTGTTACCTACTGTAAACACTCAAATATCTTCTAGTATCAAATATATATACATAAGTTGCAACCCTCTACTCTTGCAAGCATGTTGTCTAGTGGTAGTACTAGTTCCAAATAATGATCTAAAAATTCTTGGGTTGTGAACAATATTTTGTGAGCATGTTGTGAATGATAAAGTCATGGTTCCAAACCAAAGCGAACCACATTTTACTGGTTCTGTATGGTTTGGTTCCAAGATTTTCATGGCTTGGTTTGTTCCAAATTTCATAGAACCGTAAGTAATAGTTTGATCGTTGGTTTAATCCTAAGCCGAACCATGCTCACCCCTACTGATTAGATAGGGTTTTGTAGCTAAAAAGTGTACTTTTAGAGGACTGTGGATAGCAATATGAGAATAATTATTAGGATATGTGCGCAAAGAGAAGGACAAGAAGAAGAGAGAGAAAGAGGTGCTTCACCCTCACAAGGGTTAGGCCAATCACTCACAAACACAATCTCAAATTCTCATAATATCAACTCTTCCTTGAATCATTAAGATTACACATACATATTTGAATCATTAAGATTACACATATATATTTATAAACTAAAGACTTTCCAACTTGTATGAGGACTATACTCAAATTTAGAAACTAAGAATATTCAGTAACTATTAATATTCTACACCAACTAGGATTCCAAATAAAATTCAAGTCACATTTCTTAACCCACAAGACGATCTATGAACTATAACTACATACCAATCATGTCCAACAATTATTGAATTTATCATAATACCCCCAAGTACTAAAACCTAGTATAATAATATTAATCTGTCTAGCAATGTAATAAATTATAATAAATACAAATAAAGACTCAAAATTATTCCAAAACTTCAATCTTTGATGCCTTAATCATGCTTCGATTTGCCCTTTTTCTTCTTTCCATGCTCTTCATCATAAACACATCTCAGACATGAAGAAGAAGAACTAGAACTGACCTGGCAGCGACCTCGACAACAATCCACTGCTCTGTGTGTGTGTGTGTGTGAGAGAGAGAGAGAGAGAGAGAGAGAACTGTCCTGGCAGCGACCTCGACAACAATCCATTGCTGATTCGTTGGAGGAAGAATCACTGCCTTTTTTGTTGTCTCGACAATTGTTGCATTATTCTCTCTCTTCGTCGTCTCCAAACTACTACTGCTTTTGTTTTATTTGCTGCTTTATCTTCTGTGAGTGCTGCTTCTTTACTTGTGGCCTTAGGTCAAATGAGTTTAGTGCTCCACTTCTTTATCTTGTGTGGCCTTGGGCCAATGTTGTAGACTGCTGCATAATTAATTTCTGGACTTGGGCTAAAGTTAATTTTAGTGCTTATCATTTTATGGGCCAAATGGTTGGACTTTGGCTCTTATCACATAAATTCAAGTTACATTACAATTTTATGGATGAACACAATTTGATGGATAATATTATAATATTCTTGACATATGTGCTGGAAGGACTTGAACCAAAATTAGTTTAGTATATTTATTATGTATGTTCGCATATATAATATTACAAATAAAGAGATATTTAAAAAATATATTTTATATAAAATATAAAAGTATATAATTTTTCCGTGTCCCCACCATGACGTGACCATTTTTAAAAATTGCCAGTATGTTCGTGTCGTGTTGTATTAGTGTCCATTGGCTGTGTTTGTATTTTCATCCATGCTTCTTAGAAAAGTAGCATTTCCCAAATAAGTGAGACTAATCCTTGTTGAGTTGAGTTAGGTGATATAGTAAGTCATCATTTCATCAACATTTTCCTCCTTGGCACTACTACCATCACCATTTCTATTACCCTCACCCATACTCTTGTCTTTATTTTGTCACTCTTTTGCTTATCTCAATAAGATTCAAGAGAGTATGAAAGAATAATGAATCTACCTAATGTGAACAACTACAAATTCAAGCAAGTGTTTTGATTTGATATTATTAGTAATTCAACATATGTTGTATGTGGTAATACTATTTTTTATTTATTCTATATATGGTATTACGCTTCTCTCTCTCTTTTTTATATATTAATTTTTTAACATACAAAATATGGGAATTTTTCTTTTCTTTTTTTTTTTTGGGTGGGTGGGGGGAGATTTTTTTATTTTATTTTAGGGTTTAGGGTTTAGGGTTTTTCTTAAGATCTTTAAATTTAATTGTGCATAAATTTGCATATCTTATAAGTCTTGGTGAACCATACGTGTACAAGGGCTGTGTAAAATACTGCCCAATCCGCTAAAACCGCACCGCTCTAACCACTAACCGCGGTTTAAATTTTAAAATTTATAATCTGCCTTTAAAACTGCTTAGCTCCACTATAGTTAATACATTTATATTTTTTAATCTCCAATGAAATATCAAAGTAAAAATGAGTGTGAGAGAGATTTAAGATATAAAATTTATTACAAATTAGTAGTTATATATATGAAACATATTATGTAAAATTACTTTGTGTTATATATATAAGAAATATTGTACAAATTGGTGTTATATATTATGCAAATGTATGATAATTAGTTAGAATATTTTTCAATCTGCCAATCTGCCAAAAACCTCCCAAACTGCAATTTGTCAATCTGCTAATCCGCCAATCCGCCATTCGGTTTGTAATTTTACTCTCAAACTGCCCCGAACTACACAACCCACACAATGCATATGCCTAAACCCTAAACCCTATTTTATTTAGAGATAATTGGTGATAAGTCCATTTCTATGGGGGGATATAGCATTTGGTGGATTGATCTTTTATGGAGATAGGGACATGATTAATAAAATTATTTGGTGAGAAAGACATATTATTTTTTGAAGGAATTTTTTTTTCTATTTTTACGCCACTGCCGGACTACGTTGGACCATTGCTGGAAAATTCATTGGCATTGGAAAAGTGGCTGAAAAAGTCGGTGATAATTGGTGGTGGTGGTGATAATAGATAGATAGACAAGTTAGGTGGACAAATTGGTGACATATGGACAAATAGGGGATGATACGTGGAGATATAGACAGATAGGTAGGGATAATATGGTCTTTTTAAATTGTTTTTTCCTTTTGACCCAAAAAGAATAGACCTTGGGGCTATTGCCCCAAAAGTTTTGAAACTGAACTTGTGGCCCGAGTGCCCTTTTATTTGTTCAAGTAACCCATGGACTTTATGGAGGCCTGCTAGTTGATGTGTGAGAGAGAGAGATCAAGAAGGTAACTTTACAAGAGACATAGAGAGAGCAGAGAAGTGAAGATAGAGTCAAAGTTGTAGGCTTGTTCAGAGAAGATTCAATATATGGATGGAATGAAAGACTGAAATTAGGTTCTTTCTCATAGTAGAATGAGACAAGCTGGTTCACTTTCAAACATGGCAAGAGATATCAATTTGTAGTTTGTGATACATATCACTTCTTTTTGCTAGACATTTTGTGGGATATTAATATTTTGGCAAATCCGCGTTGACATGATCTAATATGTGAATGTTACATGTATATCCTGTGGGGGGACTTACATATTGGTCATAATAGGTGGACGTATTGTCCAATAGGTTTTATGATAATTAATGGCATTTTCATCAAATATTAATAAAAATGTCATTAATTATTAATTTTCAGTGACAGCTTAAAATTTTTGTTACAAAAAATGTCACTAATTACAAGTTTTAGTGACAGTTTAAGCGACAGTTTAAAAAAATCGTCACAAAAAGCCACTAATTTTCAACTTTCAGCAATAGTTTGAAAAATTCGTTACAAAAAAATGTCACTAATTGTAAGGGTTAGTGACAATTTATAAAAATCGTGACAAAAAAAAGTCTCTAATTGTCAATTTTTAGCAATATATGCAAAAAATGTCGCAAAATTATTTTTAACGACAATTTTACTAGCACTTGTTTTCAATAAATCTTGATGGGAATTAAGTCCAACTATTAGGATCTATTGGTAGTTTACCGTATCCTGTATTCTTAATGGACCATGAGTTTTAGTAGTATCTGTTCACTCCAGCCAGAGCCAGGTGAGCTTTTAAAACCTAATTTTATCCACATTTGTGTAATTCATGACTTTGTCAAAGATAAGCCAAACCTTCAGTGGTCTATCCGTTCGCCCTTTTACAATACTGTGAGTTGAGTGAGCAAAAAATCAGGTGTTCTTTTGTACTGACTTTATTTACATTTGTGGCAGTCAATTGTTAACTTTGCCCAAGGTTGAGTCATTACCATTGGTCAGTGAAACATATGTTTCATGTGGCCAGATTACCGGACATCTTGTTCTGTTTGTTTTCCATGATACAGAAATATAATGAAAAAACATGTAATAAACCATTTCCAAAATTGTTTCAATGTCCATGGGATATCCTTTTGTCAACATCAATCTGATTCTGGGCAACTAAATTACTGTAGCTATATTTTCTAGTTAAAAATCTATGTAAATGATGTCAAATCTTGTGGACTTCTTGGAATAAAACTGCCGGATGTAATATGACAATTGTTTACAAAAGCAATTCGGGCAAAGCTGCTGAGTTTGAATCAGATTGACAGAGACACTATGGGTTGGGCTGGGGAGATTCAATGGGCAATTTCACATTACAGTTCCAGCAACCTGAGATGCACTATGTTTAAGTTGTCTTTGGCTTGCACTCTATCAAGTCTGGAAAGAATGAATGGAAGAACTTTTGCTCAAAATTGCGGACAAAAGGAAGTAATAATGGCAGGGATGGTTAAGGAAATTACAGCCAGAGCATGTTTATTTAGGATAATAAGGAATTCTGGGCAAAATAGGCAAGTTTGTATGGGGTTGTTCTATATTGAAGACCTGAAGCATAGCTGTGTAGTTTTCAATATTTTGGTTTTGTTTCTTGTTTGCAGGGTCTATTCCCATTGTTTGTTTCCTGTTTTCAGGGGGTGTAGCCTATTACTCTCGGCTTGTACTTGTACTTTGTTTTCTTGTGATATAAAATTTTAACTTACCAAAAAAGAAAGAAAGAAAAAAATGAAATCTTATCAAATTGTCTCTTTTGGCAGCTCTGAGAGCACAATTTCTCATTGAATGCTTGGCTGACTTAAAAAATAATTTGATGAAGCTGGGCCTAAACTTGCTCATTCAACATGGAAAACCTGAAGATATTATCCCTTCGCTTGTGAAAGAATTTGGAGCGCACACAGTTAAGGAATTTCTGCACTTTATGTGGAAAGGCTTTTATTATGATTTTTGAAATTTTAAACCTTTTTTTGTTACCTTAAAATAAAGAATGTGGATATCTAATCCAGTAGGTGTATGCCCAAAAAGAAACATGCAGTGAGGAGGTCAATGTTGAGAGATTGGTTAGCTGTAGTTTGCAACAGGTGGCGCTTGCCTCACCTCTAGGGCCATCCACCCGCCCGACTCCCACAAATAATGCTAAACTACAATTGGTTTGGGGTGTTACTATGTACCATGTAGATGACCTCCCATTTGATAGCAGTTGTTTACCAGAAGTTTATACTCAGTTTCGTAAGGTATGAGTCTACTAAAACTAATCATAATTTCAAGTCCATCACACTGTCAGCTGGGAAGAAAGAAATTTCTCATTTGTAAGCTCTGCTGTTTATATGGAACTTACAGTCTGTTGAATCCAAGTCCAAGATACGAGGTTGCATTAAGCTCCCATCATCACTTGGTCCTCCGCCCAACATTGGGGATTGGGGATGTGTGCCTTCACTTAGTCAGCTTGGGCTTCAAGAGGGAAAGGCAAGTTTATATACGATAAATATATCATGAGGGTGTGCATGAAAGTGGCATGTTAGCAATATAATAAATAGAATTTTCTTACAATTTATTTCCTTTTGTTGATACAGGTCAACAATGGAATGAGATTTGTGGGTGGTGAAACCGCAGCACTGAGTAGAGTAAATGAATATTTCTGGAAAAAGGCAAGAAAACTTATACGATTTCCAATAATGCAACATTTTCCAAGAAGATATATAAAGACAAATTTTTATTTTTTATTTTTTTCTTGCAGGTTTGTTATTGTGGTCCTGCGACTTATTTCCTCTTTTTATTGTTTTTGAAAAACGTTTACTTCTTATCTTTGCAAATGAATCAAGGAATTATAAGTACAACAATAGTTCATGAACTTCATGTGCAAGTTAAAACTTGAGGTACTATGTTCTGAATGTATGGCACACAACAATTGAAAGAAGAATGTAATAAATGCAAGAAGCTATAGGCAATGACCAACTTATAATAGCTGGAAGATGTCTGTGATCTTAATGAACTGCAAGCATGAGTTCCGATTTGGGAGTGTAGAAAGGAACTACGGAAAATACTTTAACTTAATACTCATTTACCTGTGAGACAAATTACTCATAAAGAAACTTCTATTTGTAATGTGATAAACACACGTGCATGCACACACACACACACAAAATAAATAAATAAATAAATAATAATAATAATAATAATAATAATAATTACTATCTGAATCAAGTAGTTATGTTGTTTTCAAAGTAAAGTAGATGGGTTGAAAATTTTGAACATTTTGTTTTGGAGATGTAATCCACAAAAAACTTTTCTAGTTTTCAATAGTATTAGTAATTTTATTTATTTATTTATTTATTTATTTTATGTCTATCTAAACCTTTCTGATTATAATATGAATGTAGGATTTGCTGAGAATGTACAAGGAAACACGGAATGGGATGTTAGGACCTGATTACTCAACAAAATTTTCCCCATGGCTTGCTTCGGGCAGCCTCTCTCCTCGTTTCATATATGAAGAGGTACAAAGATTTTATCATTTCAACCATTGCATAGCACAACTACATTCTATGTTACATGGACTCCTCCAAATGCAAGATGTACTTGTGTTGGACACTCTACCCTTGGAAACTGGGATGTCACATGCATCCAACATATCTGGGTTGACTTGCACCCCAAAAACATGTTCAATTCTTCAAGTGTACTGTATGTTCGCAGATGAACTTTCTTATTGTGTTGTTTTTTTATGCGGTTGCTTCAAATCAGTGAAGTACCCTTACTTAATATCACATAGAGACATTGTTTTATCTTAGTAAATGAAAGAAGAATTTAAAGGGATATGAGGATTTATTTGTCTCTAGGTCCTTGGATTTGAGGACGAACCTAATGCTTGGATACATATACTCGACACACGTACCCAAGTCCATGTAACATAGGCTACATTACATATCAAATGAAGATTCTAATTTTGGGTAGGAGTTTCATTTGATCTGTTTAGGTAAAGAGATATGAAAAGGAGAGACAAACAAATGATTCCACATATTGGTACCTCTCCCTCTCTCTCTCTTTCTCTTTCTCTTTCTCTTTCTCTTTCTCGTTCTCTTTCTCTTTCTCGTTCTCTCTCTCTGTGCATTTAGTCAGCCATTTATCATGATTATAAATTAATTATATACCCCATTGAATGGTGAGTAGTTTGCCAAATACAAATCGTTTCTTGTCTCATTGGGATTCAACTGAAAATATATTTGGACAGAGAAACTTAGGCATTGTTCTTTTCAGGAATTCCTTTTTATTTTGAATGTTAATATGTTTTGGAAGGTCAATCCAAATGATTTTGAAGTTTAAAAATGACAGTTCTTGAATTTTTTCTGTATCTATGGCAATTTAGGCAAGCTGTCTCAGGATATGAAATATTTAAAAAAACCCACTAATTTGAAACAATGTTCTTTTTTTTTTCTTCTCCTACCCTTTTCAGTATGTTCTAGAAAATTGAAAAGGCCAGTTCAAATGTTTCGAATGATTGCAAATGGTGGTTCCTGAATTTGGGCAGTCATTACGGAAATTTAGGCAAGCTAGTCTCAGGACATGAAATATTTCTGCAAATCCACTTGCTTCAAACTAACGGTGTTTTCCTCTCATTGGTTGGGTCAAACTTTTTGATGTCCTTTAATGCCTGAAGCAATAATCATGGTTTCAGGGTCTTGTTCGAATTGATCTGGAGGGATTACTTCCGGTTCCTATCAATCAAATATGGAAATTCTCTTTTCCATATAGGTAAAACAGACATTTTTATTTTTTATTTTTAAAAATTTTTTTACAATATATATAATTTGTGATCATCATTATGTACAGTGGAATCTCGGTACTTTGTTAGATGAACTTATGTTAATAAGTTTAGTAAAGTAATTAGTGACATTTTGTAACTGTCATATCAACATTTGTATTCTTGGATGATATGTCTTATAGTTGTTATAAAAGTTCTTTCCAGATTATCAAATTTTAACATGTAATGTTGTTGATTTCTAATTTCAGGTGGTCCAAGAAAAGTGAAGACGAGATGGAGCCAAGACCAGCTCTTGTTTGAGTCTTGGAGAGATGGCTGTACTGGGTATTCCCTAATCCAAGGCTGTGGTAGTATAGGAACCATATATTAGAGATTTGAGTCAAATCTTTTGTTGAAGTATTTCAGATTATTATATTGTTTTCATTATCAGTTTAATGTAAAATTTTTCCAGATCTCTTCTGTGTTCTAAAATGTCTTTAATATTCTATTATTAATGCTAGGGGCAGGCAGTAGGCAAGGTTGGGTCAGTAGCTGTTAGAGTTTATGAAAATTAAGGGTACACATGGTGTTAAAGCGAGATGGCCGTACTGGGTATTCCCTAATCCAAGGCTGTGGTAGTATAGGAACCATATATTAGAGATTTGAGTCAAATCTTTTGTTGAAGTATTTCAGATTATTATATTGTTTTCATTATCAGTTTAATGTAAAATTTTTCCAGATCTCTTCTGTGTTCTAAAATATCTTTAATATTCTATTATTAATGCTAGGGGCAGGCAGTAGGCAAGGTTGGGTCCGTAGCTGTTAGAGTTTATGAAAATTAAGGGTACAGATGGTGTTAAAGCCCAAAATGAACACCTCAGAAAGCTCTATTATATTTCATAATCTTTTAGAATCTCTTTCTCTCTCTCTCTCTCTCACACACACACACACTTTTATTATTATTATTATTATTATTATTATTATTTTCCTTTCTCATTTTCTTTACTATGCAATGGGAGAGAAATGAAATCATATAACTTCTCCACATGATTTCCTAATTTCCACTGAAGCTTTATGGGTCCATTGTTGATTCATTAACCTTGTTAAATGTTTAGGTACCCTCTCATAGATGCTAATATGAAAGAATTATCAATGACTGGCTTCATGTCAAATCGAGGGAGACAGGTAATGAAATCAACTTTAGACATTATTCTCTGTGGGAGAACATAGCTACCAATTTTGATTTACTGCATTGCAACAAAACATTCACATGTTTCAATCTTAGTTTTTGTTGATCATCTGACTATGATTCTTCATATGTTTCCTTGGAAACCAAGAAACGTCCAAAACCTCTTCAACATGGTGTATAATCACTTTATATTTCTCAGATTGTATGTTCCTTTCTTGTTCGAGATATGGGAATTGATTGGCGAATGGGAGCTGAATGGTTCGAGACATGCCTTCTGGATTATGACCCTTGTTCCAATTATGGTAATTGGACATATGGAGCAGGTGATTCACCTCACTGTACCTTATGTTATCACATTATCTGTATGTGTGTGTACATTTGCCTGTAAGCTTTGTTGTATGTGTGTGAATTCCCACTCTCCAACGCCATACATTCAGCTCTCCAGATGGCAGCTGTACAGCTCTTTTTGAAAAATCTCAACCTACTGCTTCTACTGTTATCTTTCTTTCTTTCTTTCTGTGGGTAAGTGAGTATAGAGGTGGTCAGTTGTTAACCTCTGGGAAGATGGCGGGCACTGCAATGGCCTGAGTTTACCGGAGGTGGAGAGGAAAAGCTTAGAGATAGGAGAGGTTGGTAGTGAAAGACCTTGAACACTTGTGTATGATTGTATTAGTGTCTTAGTGTAGGTGTGTTTGTTTGCCGTATACATGATATGTTATGTAAGCCCTTGCAGTATTAGAGCCCAAGCAACCTGTTAGACAGGTGGCTGGCTCTTCCCAACTCCACCAGAGGTTGATATCAGCCTTATTGCCATTTGTGTTTTAGGCTGGTAGGACGAGGGCAACATATCATGTATTCAACAGAGGCATGTGTGTAAGGTCCATATAACCTCTTCTCCAAGCTTGGTCAAGGTGGAGCTTGTAAGCTTTCTGAATAAATTTGTATGTATTCAATTGTGTGTTTCAATTATATCAAGACCTTAGTTTATATAAGCCCTAACTCCTAAGCCAAAATAGGAAATACAAGATTTACATAATCACAACCATTCCTAATATATACACAATCAAAATTATATCAAATCTATAATATATACAATATATTTATAGAATATATATGATATATCTCACACTCCTGCTCAACTCAAGATGTTTTAGTAGAAAACACTGAGAGTTTGTCAAGAAGAAACCGAAAACGAGTAGTGGTGTGAGTCTTGGTGAAGAAATTAGCAAGTTGTAGAGCTGAAGTGACAAAAGGAAGCGAGCTATAGCCAGACTATAGGTGCTGATGGACGAAGTGACAATTAATCTCAATGTGTTTCATCCATTCATGAAAGATAGTGTTATGGGCAATCTGCATAGCACTTCGGTTGTCACAGTAGAGAGAGGTTAGAGAGGCTTAGGCACGCCGAAGTCAGAGAGGAGACAACGAAGACAGACAACCTTAGCAGTAGCATGAGCCATAACACGGTACTCAGCTTCGGCAGTAGAGGACGGGCATCAATAGTTTGTTTCTTGCTTTTCTAATAAATCAAGTAATCACCAGGAAACATACAGAAACCAAAAGTGGACTTATAATCATTAACATTACCAGCCCAATCAGCATCAACATAAGCCACTGTTAAAACCTATCACCTACTTCACCCACTTAAACCTACTCCACTAAACCTAACCCACTACACCACTACCACCTCACCTACTCCACTAAACCTAACCCACTACACCACTACCACCTCCACTTCACCTACTCCTTACCTACTACACACTCACCCTCTTCTATATATAGAAATCAACAATAAATCAATCAATAATACAATTCTCTATTTCTCTTTATACATTAAATTTTCTACATGGTATCAGAGCAATAAGATTTAGGCCTATATTCCTTTCTTTCCGGCGGGCAGCCGTCCGGCAACCATGCCTGCGCTGCCCGCTGGAGTTTTTCAACACACCTGTTTTCAACAATGATCTTTGCCTGCCTTTGATTCTCTCAAATACCCAACATTTCAAACACCTGGCCATTCATTCGACTTCAATCCAGCAGGTTCTGCATGCACTAGCGCAATTGTTGCCTCTTGGTCACTCAGACACCTGCTGCAAACCTCCCTGTATTACTTTGATCCATTGAAGCCAAAGATCTCGTTCTTGACTTGATTTGCTTGTTCCTGACAAAGCAACCATCAAGCAGAATGACACCGATTTCACGCATCTCGCCCTGCTTCAGAGCATCTCAAAAGAGGGACTTGCCCCAATTTCACTCCCTTTTTTGAAACCCATTTCGTCAATACCAGTTTCGCAACTGCCTCCCTTGTCTTCTCTGCCTCCATGGTTGTCCACGACCACGACACCACCCTTCCGATCTCTCTCGACGAACTGCTCGTCCACTGTGGCGACTGGTTTGGTCCGTCGAGCCTTCCTGTCATGTCTTCGTCTCATGTATACCGACCTGTAGCGAGAACAGGTGAAGTCTTGCCTCCACAGGTTGAAACCACGTCGTTGAAGAACGATCCAACGACTTCTCTGAGCCTTTCGCTTCCCAGATAGGTACTCGAATCTTCATCATCCTTCTCTCTCTCTCTCTCTCTCGGGAGCTTGCAGAGATGGGATCGGTTTCACTGCCGATAGGCGCTGGAACAACCAGATTCAAAAGAGCAACTCTCTGTTCTTGTGCGTGTGTGGTGGACGTTGGTAATGGAGTCCAGCTTCTCCACCGTCTTTTTGGCAGCTGTAAGTGTGGGATGTGATGTAAAGCAAAGCGTCTGTCGTGATATTTGTTAATATATGTAGTTATATATATTCGGCAAAGTGGGTTCTCACCTGGCACAGCAAGTTTGTTTGGTGGGCCATCAGAAGTTTTGGTGGAGTTACACGTGGGTGAATTTTGGCCCACGGTTACCACCTCACCTACTCCACTAAACCTAACCCACTACACCACTACCACCTCACCTACTCCACTAAACCTAACCCACTACACCACTACCACCTCACCTACTCCACTAAACCTAACCCACTACACCACTACCACCTCACCTACTCCACTAAACCTAACCCACTACACCACTACCACCTCACCTACTCCACTAAACCTAACCCACTACACCACTACCACCTCACCTACTCCACTAAACCTAACCCACTACACCACTACCACCTCACCTACTCCACTAAACCTAACCCACTACACCACTACCACCTCACCTACTCCACTAAACCTAACCCACTACACCACTACCACCTCACCTACTCCACTAAACCTAACCCACTACACCACTACCACCTCACCTACTCCACTAAACCTAACCCACTACACCACTACCACCTCACCTACTCCACTAAACCTAACCCACTACACCACTACCACCTCACCTACTCCACTAAACCTAACCCACTACACCACTACCACCTCACCTACTCCACTAAACCTAACCCACTACACCACTACCACCTCACCTACTCCACTAAACCTAACCCACTACACCACTACCACCTCACCTACTCCACTAAACCTAACCCACTACACCACTACCACCTCACCTACTCCACTAAACCTAACCCACTACACCACTACCACCTCACCTACTCCACTAAACCTAACCCACTACACCACTACCACCTCACCTACTCCACTAAACCTAACCCACTACACCACTACCACCTCACCTACTCCACTAAACCTAACCCACTACACCACTACCACCTCACCTACTCCACTAAACCTAACCCACTACACCACTACCACCTCACCTACTCCACTAAACCTAACCCACTACACCACTACCACCTCACCTACTCCACTAAACCTAACCCACTACACCACTACCACCTCACCTACTCCACTAAACCTAACCCACTACACCACTACCACCTCACCTACTCCACTAAACCTAACCCACTACACCACTACCACCTCACCTACTCCACTAAACCTAACCCACTACACCACTACCACCTCACCTACTCCACTAAACCTAACCCACTACACCACTACCACCTCACCTACTCCACTAAACCTAACCCACTACACCACTACCACCTCACCTACTCCACTAAACCTAACCCACTACACCACTACCACCTCACCTACTCCACTAAACCTAACCCACTACACCACTACCACCTCACCTACTCCACTAAACCTAACCCACTACACCACTACCACCTCACCTACTCCACTAAACCTAACCCACTACACCACTACCACCTCACCTACTCCACTAAACCTAACCCACTACACCACTACCACCTCACCTACTCCACTAAACCTAACCCACTACACCACTACCACCTCCACTTCACCTACTCCTTACCTACTACACACTCACCCTCTTCTATATATAGAAATCAACAATAAATCAATCAATAATACAATTCTCTATTTCTCTTTATACATTAAATTTTCTACAGCCACCAAATCCAAGGAAGAAGTAGAAGACAACAACAAGCCTTGGAAGATAGTACCGCGAAGATAGCGAAGAATCCATACCAAAGCAGCCCAATGTGTAGAGCGGGGAGCAGGAACGAACTGGCTAACCATATAAACAGCATAGGCAAGATCAGGGCTAACCACATAAACAACATGAGTAAGGCTGAGCGTTCTGTTGAAGTAGGTGGCCTCATAGTAGAACGACGACTCTCCTTATTCTGTACATAAGCAAAGGCTTCCTGAAGAGAGAAGAATGTCCATGCCCAGAACACGACTTCGAACAGGATAAAACTCCAAGTTGAGATCTTCCAGAAACTTGAAGACCCTTTCCTGTGTAATAAACTTCTAGTATCCTACTGAATCAATTGTGTATATAGGTTTATAATCCTATAGGTGATTAAGACGTTTCTAACCATTATTAAAAAACGTGAAATACTGAAGAATAGTCTACTCCCCTTGTACTGAGTGTTTGATAGAGTGGCACAACTCAAAAACCTATGAGAAATTCCCCTTCTGGGAATAGGTAGTGGCCACAACATCCCAAACATCCTGGGTAGTCTCCATAGACAAGTAGCCCTCACTAATATTGGGAACTATAGAATGGATGAGCCATACCATAATCAAAGAGTTGGTAATCTCCCATTGGTCATAACTAGGATCAATGATACTTGGTGCTTGGACTCTCCCGTCAGCATAACCCATCTTCCCCTTACTTTTCCGAAAAAGCGTCAGACGCTACAACCACACAAGGTAATTTTGACAATTGAAGAGAGAGGTGGTGATTTTGAGACTAGGATTTAGGTTATCAGATGTAGTAGTTATAATGGGACTCGCCCCTTTAGATGGGTGAGAAGTAGCGGTGGATTCACTTGACGGGTTAGCCATTTATACTCTACTATCTCAACCAAAAAACTGCACTAATCACAACTACGGGGAGATGGAATGGAACAAGCAACATCAACCACAGACTGCTATGGGAGCATAACAATCCCCAAAAATAAATGAAATAGTGGAGGAAGTAAAACTTCAATCAAAATAGTAGTCCTGGGTCTCAATAAAACAAAAAGCACTGTAGCAATGAAGAGGAGGAGGACAAACGAGTTCAATCAGACCATGGGCTGGAAAAATGAGCTTAGTTGAAGCCGAAAGCCCCCTTGGTGAAGTCACAAGGCACTTCCGCAGCCTCTGATGTAAGACCCAAAGCAGACCAGAGTCTAGGAGGTTATGTCAAAGTCTAGAGAGAACCCAGAGGACTGCGATGAAGGCTAGAGAAGACCCAAGGGAGGTTTTGTTCACTCTAACAGGGCATGTAGGACTGCAACAGTCCTAGTTCTAGGCCGGAGGCCCTTTGGCTCGAGCCGAAAAAGGGTCAGAAAGGTGTCGGCTTAAGCTAAAAGTGTCGAAGGGTTGGTCAGCTGAGTATGGGTGACACCGGTAGACCTTTCACTGGTGATGGGTGGTGGATGGTTGGTGTCGGGGAGTGTGGGTGATGGGTTTAGGGTTTCGGCTTTGAATGTTTGTTTAGGAAAATCAAACTTAGGGTTGATAATGATATCACACCCCTTTATATTAATAATTCAAAATATTACAAAGGAAGCCTTAAGGCACAAAATAAAGAATCAGCTAATTATAGCTTGATAAATAAAACAAATGATAAAAACAAGAATATATTCAACATATATTCTAACATGTGTGTGGGTCAAAGGATACCAAAAAGCTATTGTCTTATATTAATGCTTTGTCCCACCCACTAGTACATGTCAGGCTACTCATTAACTGCTAGGCAAAGGAACAAATGTAAAATGGTGTTCGAAGGTTCATAGAAGACATGTTGCCTAGGAACTTGTGGAGTGGTTGAATGTGGACCTCTCAAGGATCAAGTGCAGGTAGAGTAGGAAAAGGCTACAAAGTGTGTTTATGACTATGTATAGGTTACTGGAAGTACGATTTCTTCCTATGGGGCAGCGAGCATCGGGTAATGGAAATGCAATGCTTGGTTTTCTTTTTTGGTACATGGGCAACCATGTTGGAAAGATAAAATGTTGATCCTTGAGAAGTGCAAAACGGGTAGATTTATATATTTTCAACCTTCTCATGTGTATATATATATATAGAAGTGTACGACATGTGTTGTGGAAGAGAGGTGTGAAAGGGAAGTAGCCAAGGGTGCTGTAAAAGAGGGTGCGTACCAGTGAGGGGGGCTTGGGGCTCATGGACTCGGTTACCATGAGTAGGGGTGTTGAGTATTGCTGTCAGATTTTGTCTATTTTCATCTCAACGTTGTACTATCTATTATTTCTAGTGGATTTATCTCTCTCACCTGTGGGCATAGGCATTTTTGCTAAACCACGTCATGTATTATGTCTGTGTGTTTTTTTTTTTTGTTTGTGTGTGTGTGTGTGTGTGCAAATTTATTTTAGGAAAGCTTCCATTGACACACAGGAATGTTTTTCCCAAGTGGTATTAGAGTTTTAGGTGGTTGGGAGACTCACCTAGAGTGCCAAGGGTGTCTTCGTATGAGACCAAAGTGTTAGTGTGTGATGATGAAACATTATAAAAAATACACGGTAATGATAATTGTGTCACAAGCAAAGAGATGAAAGATTCCAAAGAGCAATCTTTGGATAGCACTTGTGTTGAAGGTTGATGAACTAACACTCACTCAGAAAATGTTGTTGCACACTTTGGAAGGTGATTTAGAGTGTGGTTGAAGTCTGTGCTGACTCTAGTTTTTCCTCATGAAAAAAAATACCAAATGGATTATTTGGTATTTTTCTTCCTAATTGCTAGGTTTTAAAACAGACTTTGGATGGCCAAGGTTCCTTAGTCTGCTGACTAAGGCGGTCGGGTTTGTGTTATGAAATCTAGTTTGTTTGGCCACGACCATTGTTTTGGGCGGCTAAACAGTGGGCACAAAAAAACCCACTCTGGCTCCTACTTTGATTAGCTAACCTGTGTGGCTTTCCTGACCAACATGCGGGTATGTCAAACCTGACATTGGACTGACTTTGGTAGATCAATCTGTGTGCCAGTTAACCTGATACTACCTTGGTTGACCACACTGGGCCAAAGTGGGCTGTTACTTCCAGGCGTTCTTGGTCCTAGCCTTGTTGAGTGCCATTTTAATGTCAATGATGCCTCTACTTGACTTCTCCCATGAATCCTCTGGCATTCCAAGTTCTCCAGGCTTTCCAATGCGCTTCCAATGACAGTGGTTTAGGTTCTATCTAAGGTTGCAAATAAAAAATTATGAAATTGCCAACTTATGCTAATCCTAGTACTACAATGACAGTGGTTTAGGTTCTATCTAAGGTTGCAAATAAAAAATTATGAAATTGCCAACTTATGCTAATCCTAGTACTAACAATCTCCCTTCTAGCGATTTCATGACAACACACTCACAAATTGGAATTCTGTCCCCATTTCCATACAGTACATATTTTTCTCATCTCATGATCTCTTGCCGAAAAAAAAAAAAAAAAAAATTGAAATGAGAAAACATACAATGGGAAGAAAAGAGGTACAAATAAAAAGGACATAGATGAAGCTAAAACCTAGACATGGTTGAGTCCCCTAAGTCCTAGGCTTCAACTTTGATGCTCACGTCTTGGTGTGCTTATATATTTCCCTTCCTTGAATACATCCCTGCATTGTAAACAGGAAAAGGAAACATGCAAATTTTGCTCTCCCTTTTTGTCAGGAATTGCCAAAAGCGAAAATTTATGGTGGGAAGTAAGCAAGTCATAACTAGAGCTGGCAAGTCTGGCCCCTGTCCATGAACCCGCCCATTTAAGCTCATCTAAAACCCATTTAAACTTGTTCAATTAGAAAATCGGTTGGAATTGGGTTGATTTCATTCTGCCACTTAGAAAATGGGTTAAGCTGGGTTGGACACAGATGCCCTTTGGGTCTTGCTAAAAGACAAAAGGCAGAGCTTCCAATGCTTGAACTGCTGACTTTATGCATGGTCACAATTTGTCCAATGGTTTGTTTGACTACACAATCAATAATGAAATCTGATACAAACAAATCAATAATAATATAAACTTAGAAAAAATATTTAGAAAAACACATTTATGATCACAAATATTTTAGATGGGGTCCACAATATATCAATTTTAAATCTATATCATACAACTCATGTCGGAGGAAATTTGAAATATCTTTTTCATTTTCAATAGTAATAAATAAATATATTAATTGTTCTTTTACACTTTCTTTATTTTTTGTAAGAAAAAAATAGATTAAGACTTAAAGATGTCAACAATTATATAAATACAAAAATATTACCACTTCCTGCAAATGAAATACTATTTTTTTGCCGGTAGTTATTTTGAATTGGTTTATTTTGATGGTAAAAAATTGGATTATTTAAAATTATCGTTATCAACTTTCTATTTAATGTAATTTAAGTTGAATTTGCTGTTCTTTAAAGTCCAAAAGTGCAAATAATTTAAATCAATGACTAATATTTATAATATCTAAGTATTGATAAATTTATCAAAAAAATAAAAATAAATAAATAAATAAAAATATCTAAGTATTGATAAGCTTGGCCTAATAACCATTGGTTTAATGTTTAAGACTTGGCTTAATAACCTTGAGATTATGAGTTCAAGTCCTGGGGCCATCACTTTGTGCATTATGCCAAAGGTTAGGTGCATACTCAATCTTTTCCCTCCCAAACACATTAATGTGTATTAATTGGGTGTTGTTTTATTGATAAGCTGATTTAAAAAAAAAAAGAAAAGAAGAAGCTATTATTAATTAATAATGTTGACCAATGGCTAATAGAAAGTTGATAATATGATGAACTGACTTAAGACAATAGTAATTATTGATAAAATTAGCTTTCTATTTAAAAATGAGTTAAGTAGAATAATTCGGTTTCAATGGGCAATTGAGTCCAACCTGCGGCCATATAAACCCGTCCAATTCAACCCGCGTGATAATTGGGTGGGTTTGGACTTATCCAATTAAAGGAGTAACCCGAATAGACCCTCCCAAACCCGCCCATTTGCTACCCCTGGTCATAACATAAAGATATACACATACATAGTGTACCGGCAAGCATGTGTTTGAAGCTATAAATTAAAATCATCAAGAAGCATGTGTCAAGTGATAGTTAACTATTAATATTTAATAGCTATATTGTTTAATTGATTTTAGGTCCTAGAAACTAAGATGAACTAACTTATAGCCTTAGGCACATATGACAATCCCTATTACTTGAGATTGACTGCATACTCCTAAGGATGTCAGTAATATCCAAGAGACTGTCTATTTTCAAATTCATTGAACATTTGGAATTTTACAAGTGAGCTGAAATGTACGTAACATATGGAGTTCTGATTCATGAGTTCATAAGTAAAAATAGAGTGGTGGAACAGCGGCGGCAGCAGCGGCGGTGTAGTGATTGTTAGGTATTTAATGAATGGGCGGTGAGAGTGGAGTGGGAAATGTCAGGCACTAGGTTACATCATGGTCAAAATTGTTATTTTGAAAATTTAAGTGACAACATCAGCACATTTTGTTAGTTGACCAAATGGAGGGGAAAACTATAATGCGACTGGAAACCTCATGGAGAGGAATGAAACTTCCAGAACATTAGAACTAGTGTAATGGCAACAAAGCTTAGTTGAGGTCAGTATAATTTACCATTTATTTTTTCTTGTTTCAAGGACATTCGACGGTTTCAATTGCAAGGAGCATCACTCTTTGTTACTAGTCGGACATTTGAACTTTTCTAATTTTTTAAGGTACTATGGAAAATCCTTCATCACCATCAATTTACTCAGATATTAATAAAAATCTATTTTTTCGATCACTCAGGTTTTATTTATATATCATTGTTGACTGCTGATTTAAATAACATATTGACATATAGAAAGATAAAAATTCTTTCGAACGTTTGACTACTATAACTTAAAATCCATAAATGCATTGAAATGCACATTTATTTTCTTCTTATTATAATTGCTGCACATGTAAGTTTCTTTTTCTGTTTCATACTTGAAATTGTGAAATTTATGAGCCAGACTTTTACAGCCCCCCTCTCTCTCTCTCTCTCTCTCTCTCTCTCTCTCTCTCTCTCTATTTTGTTTGTCAAAATAGGCGTTGGGAATGATCCAAGAGAAGATCGTTACTTCAGTATTCCTAAACAAGTGAGTGAATTTTTTTTATTTAATTTTTACTTTTGCAAACTAGTTTAAAATAAAGTTGTTCAGTTATTTTGGAAGAAAGAAAGGGAAGACCCCAGCCCAGATATCCAACTTGCAGATGTTGTAGAAATTTAATGTATAAAGAGAAATAAAGAATTGTATTATTGATTCATGTATTGATATAATGTTATATTTATTACAATGATTCATGATTCCTATATATAGAAGAGGGTGAGTGTGTAGTAGGTAAGTTAGTGGAGTAGGTGAGGTGGTAGTGGTGTAGTGGGTTAGGTTTAGTGGAGTAGGTTTAAGTGGGTGAAGTAGGTGGATTTTAACAATATATATATATATATATATTTTAACCAAGCCAAATGGATAATGACCACACTTATTACTATTATTATTTTCAAACAATATATAGATAGACACACACAAACAAAATGGTTTAGTGATAGCAGCTGAATAGAATAGCATAGGTTTTACAGCTTCAACAAATCAATAACATGTTCTTCATCTTCCCTCTTCTCTCTCTCTATCTCTTGCTCCTCCATTTTCTCTCTTTATCTTCCCTCTTCTCTCTATCCCTCTTCCTCCATTTTCAGTTTTGTTTTTTTTCTTCTTTTTTTTTTTTGTGTTTTTTCGAAAGAAACTGTTTGGAACCGTTACGTAACGGTGCATAACAGGTCGTTACGGCATCGTTATGACCGCTACGGCAATCAATACGGCCGACAAAACTGTAAATCTCAATCACACTGCAAAAGTGGCCGTAACGGGTGGCGGTAACCGCCAAAACCGTTACGTAACGGTTGCGGCCGCTTTTTAAAACCTTGTGTACAACCAAACAAACCAAAAAAATTTATAAACTCTCTCCCCAAAATTTTTTTCAAAAACAATTCTCCCAAAAACAAACCAAACAAGCCCATAATTGTTCTTTTACACTTTCTTTATTTTTTGTAAGAAAAAAATAAATTACGACTTCAAGATGTCAACAATTATATAAATACAAAAATATTACCACTACCTGCAAATGAAATACTATTTTTTTGCCGGTAGTTATTTTGAATTGGTTTATTTTGATGGTAAAAAATTGGATTATTTAAAATTATCGTTATCAACTTTCTATTTAATATAATTTAAGTTGAATTTGCTGTTCTTTAAAGTCCAAAAGTGCAAATAATTTAAATCAATGACTGATATTTATAATATCTAAGTATTGATAAATTTATCAAAAAAATATAAATATCTAAGTATTGATAAGATTGGCCTAATAACCATTGGTTCAATGGTTAAGACTTGGCTTAATAACCTTGAGATTATGAGTTCAAGTCCTGGGGCCATCACTTTGTGCATTATGCCAAAGGTTAGGTGCATACTCAATCTTTTCCATCCCAAACGCATTAATGTATATTAATTGGGTGTTGTTTTATTGATAAGCTGATTTAAAAAAAAAAAGAAAAGAAGAAGCTATTATTAATTAATAATGTTGACCAATGGCTAATAGAAAGTTGATAATATGATGAACTGACTTAAGACAATAGTAATTATTGATAAAATTAGCTTTCTATTTAAAAATGAGTTAAGTAGAATAATTCGGTTTCAATGGGCAATTGAGTCCAACCTGCGGCCATATAAACCCGTCCAATTCAACCCGCTTGATAATTGGGTGGGTTTGGACTTATCCAATTAAAGGAGTAACCCGAATAGACCCTCCCAAACCCGCCCATTTGCTACCCCTGGTCATAACATAAAGATATACACATACATAGTGTACCGGCAAGCATGTGTTTGAAGCTATAAATTAAAATCATCAAGAAGCATGTGTCAAGTGATAGTTAACTATTAATATTTAATAGCTATATTGTTTAATTGATTTTAGGTCCTAGAAACTAAGATGAACTAACTTATAGCCTTAGGCACATATGACAATCCCTATTACTTGAGATTGACTGCATACTCCTAAGGATGTCAGTAATATCCAAGAGACTGTCTATTTTCAAATTCATTGAACATTTGGAATTTTACAAGTGAGCTGAAATGTACGTAACATATGGAGTTCTGATTCATGAGTTCATAAGTAAAAATAGAGTGGTGGAACAGCGGCGGCAGCAGCGGCGGTGTAGTGATTGTTAGGTATTTAATGAATGGGCGGTGAGAGTGGAGTGGGAAATGTCAGGCACTAGGTTACATCATGGTCAAAATTGTTATTTTGAAAATTTAAGTGACAACATCAGCACATTTTGTTAGTTGACCAAATGGAGGGGAAAACTATAATGCGACTGGAAACCTCATGGAGAGGAATGAAACTTCCAGAACATTAGAACTAGTGTAATGGCAACAAAGCTTAGTTGAGGTCAGTATAATTTACCATTTATTTTTTCTTGTTTCAAGGACATTCGACGGTTTCAATTGCAAGGAGCATCACTCTTTGTTACTAGTTGGACATTTGAACTTTTCTAATTTTTTAAGGTACTATGGAAAATCCTTCAACACCATCAATTTACTCAGATATTAATAAAAATCTATTTTTTCGATCACTCAGGTTTTATTTATATATCATTGTTGACTGCTGATTTAAATAACATATTGACATATAGAAAGATAAAAATTCTTACGAACGTTTGACTACTATAACTTAAAATCCATAAATGCATTGAAATGAACATTTATTTTCTTCTTATTATAATTGCTGCACATGTAAGTTTCTTTTTCTGTTTCATACTTGAAATTGTGCGATTTATGAGCCAGACTTTTACAGCCCCCCTCTCTCTCTCTCTCTCTCTCTCTCTCTCTCTCTCTCTCTCTATTTTGTTTGTCAAAATAGGCGTTGGGAATGATCCAAGAGAAGATCGTTACTTCAGTATTCCTAAACAAGTGAGTGAATTTTTTTTATTTAATTTTTACTTTTGCAAACTAGTTTAAAATAAAGTTGTTCAGTTATTTTGGAAGAAAGAAAGGGAAGACCCCAGCCCAGATATCCAACTTGCAGATGTTTAACTAGTCTATAATATGGAGTTGTTTGGCTGTCATTTTCATCTGTGAGAGATAGAGAAAGCAAAATAAATGTTAATCTTTTATTGTTTTGGATGGTTAAGACTGGAGTTTTGAGAGCTTGCCAAGTTGCCATATAAGCCAGAGTAAAATGGTGAAAGCAAATGGCAACGGACTACTGCAAAAATGGTCTGGAATCATAGATGAGAATAAGAATTTACCCCATTAATTTCTTGTTCTTCTTGTACTGATCTATTTTTGTCTTTTCATCTTATAAAGTGTTCTTTCAAACTGTAGTTTAACTCAGGCCCAACTTGCAGTCTATGTCTTATCTTCTGTAAACATTGGGAGTAATTTCTTGGGTTAAATACTCCATCGGTCCCCTAAGTATGCGCTTTGTATCATTTTGGCCCCAACATTTCAATGGTGTCAATTTAGTTCCTAATGTATGGAATTTGTGTTTATATGGACCCTAACACTGACGCCACTTAAATTGATCGATGGAATCAGTGACTGTTTTTGCAGAAAGCAGCATTATGTTGTGTGCTGAGAATACCCGACTCTAATTAGTAAATATGGACAAAAATGGTCAAAGGGAACATTTAACCACAAATTTCATATATGGGGGTACTAAATTGGCACAATTGAAATATTGGGGACCAAGTGATACAAAATGCATACTTTTGGGACTAATGGTGTACTTAACCCTAATTTCTTTTAAATAAAATTTATTTTGTTTTTTATAATTGAAGATTTGATGGTAGAAAATATCAGCATCAACTGTTCAACATAAAAGGGCTATCACCTTGGAACATTGAATGACTACTACATTTAAGAAGCTCTGTTTAACTAGGAAAGTAAGTGTCAAATTATAAATGGACAGAATTTCATGAAAAATTATTTTTTCAATTTATCCTGAGACGTTATTGAATTCTCCAGGCCCTAACATATGATCCTGAAGGGAAGTATGTAGCATACTGGTTACCTGAGTTACAAGCACTTCCAAAAGAGAAAAGGAACTTCCCTGGGCATTTATACATTAAACAAATTGTACCTCTCAAATATGGGAACTCTCACAGGAATAGAAACTCTGATTCGGAAGGAAAAGGAAAACACATGAAAGGTTACAAGAGGTAAGAGAAGAAGACTTGTTACTTCAATGTCATGTGGAATGAAGATCAATGACTTACCTTGACCCTAGCTATTTGATATCCAAAAGAATAGAAGAAGTAAAAAGTAAAGAGGAATGCTCTGATTATTCGAGGAGACTTGTACTGTTATTCTGTTATGTAATGGTTGTTTATGTCTTCTGTATTAGATTCTGATTTGTTGTCTATGCTAAGTGCTTGGGTTGTAGGACTAGTTTTTTCCCTAGTGTTGTGGTGAGGGATTTGGTTTGGTAACTTTGGTTGGGGAAGTTGGTTTGTTTTGGTTGTTGGACTTGTTTTTTTTGAACCCCCATCCCAACATTCCCCTCCTCCCACATCTGACCCAGTGTCAGGTGGGCGAATTGGGAAATTTTCATTGACAAATTAAATCTTATTTCTATCATATTTGTAGGCTAAATTTTACTACTGGTTATTGTAGTTTTTTTGAGTTCAATTTGGTTTGCGTCGTTTTAATTGTATATCTAATACACTTTTTTTTCTTTCTTTTACTTATTTATTTATTTATTTATTTATTATTATTTTTTTTTATGAGATGATTGACAGTTGATGTCATTTTTTAGTTGAAAAATCCTTGTGCACTAACCATATTTGAACGACAAAAAGTATTCACAGCCTATTTTTTCAACCAATCCGGACAACCCATCTCAAACGGCCACTAATCGCCTCACTTCCCTCCCATTTCCCATCGCCACCAGCCCTCTCTCTCTCTCTCTCTCTCTCTCTCTCTCTCTCTCTACATAGCAACTCTTTCCACTTCTCCCTCCCCATCTCTCACTTGCTTTATTCATATGTTTCAAAATTAACTCCATTCATATGTTTCAAAATTAACATCATCAATTAGGCAAGTAAACGATTTTCAACACTATTCCGTTGAGGCTCTAGCGACCTCAAACAACCCACATACTCTCTCTCTTCAGATCTCATATCACAAGGGGATGGGGTGGTCTTGAAATTCGCTTTGCGCACTGAGAGTGATTCTATCATGACTAATTTCTTTCCTCCAATGAAGATCTTGCTCTTTTATGGCTGTCATTGCCCAATTTTCCATTACCCTATTGCAGAACCTTTGCTATCTTTACTGGACACCTTGCATGACAACAAGCAAACCAATTCAAAGCTTGTACGGACTTTAGAAAACCATCTAGGTATTGCTGATTTTTGGCATTTCGATATGTTTCATTTGGTTGTAGCATGCACAGATCTGATTTTTTGGAGTTGTGCGCTATTAGGGACACGAGAACTAGCAAGTAGCTATGTTGTTGTTCTTTATAAAACCCAACCTTGGAGTTGTGCGCTATTAGGGACACAAGAACTAGCAAGTAGCTATTTTGTTGTTCTTTATTATCAAACAGTTATAGCTTTGTTTTGGGTTTGGTTTACTTGGTTTGTGTTTTGATTTATAAACTCTGCTTCTGCTATTTGAGAATGTTGAAGAAAGGTTTTCTCCTTAGCTCCAAGTCGACCAATCGACGTTTGACTAAGCAAGAAAAGGGTATAGGTCTTGCTACACCACAAGAATCTAGTTTGCCTCAAATAAAGGTCAAATGTGTGTCAGACTTTACTGAAGATGATCTCTTTTCACCGCAAGAACTAGTGATGACTAGTCATGTTACCTTAGTTGTGAATCCTAATAATCTTTTTGAAATGGAAGAGGTATGCACGACAGGAGGCCATATAGGAAACTGCAGCCCATCTAATCAAAATGGGGACAAGGGTATTAACACATCTCATGGAGGTTGTGGTTGGTCAAGATCAGACACTAAAGGCAAATTGAACCCTATCCTGAGAAGAAATTCTCCTCATTGATCATGCTTTGCGTGAGTCACTAAAAGTTAGCAACAAAGTTGAGTTTTTTTTCACTAGCCTAGCCTATCAGTCGATAAAGTTCAAGCAAAACAGATTTACCAATCAAATATGGCGGTGGGGATGGATATTCAGTGCAATATGAACTCAAATGACCCAAGTGAGGTTGTCCTTGAACCTACACTAGAGTTTTGTTTTGATGGTAAGTCGTCTGAAGCACTTAAGCTAGATGTCAGTTATGGTGAAAACACTTTTCAAGCTCAAGTAGATGTCCCAAAGCTAGATAAAATTTTCCCACATTCTTCTACACGAGTTCAAGTGTTGTTCAAGCATTTTGTGAAGAGGGTAGTATCACATTGAGCGAGTGTGTCTAAGAGAATTCAAGCACCTAAACCCAACATCAACGTCAATTATGCTAGTGCAATGGAAGTTATTCAATCCTCTCACAACGATTGCATTAAGCGTAAAAGAGAGCATTGCATAGAAGATAGTTAGGAAGACCCAAGTCTTTTTCTTGTTCCCTTATGGCGGTACTCCTCACTAGTCATTTGATTTGCAATGTATGGTACGTTCTTTTTTCTAACCATTATACAGGTGCTCGTAGATGCTACTGACTGAAGTTTTCTCTACTAATGGTGGCAGTATGTAGGTTGTGTAGCTTTTTTAATCCCTTCTTGTGATGTTGTATTGTGATGATGTTTTCACTCTGTGTTCTTTGCATTTTTTGTTAATATAATGATGCATTTCATGCTTTCCTAAAAATAAAAAATAAAAATAAAAATTTACAATCCAAAACCAAAGACAACGAGAATCTATGGTAAAGGGTTTTGGAAAAGGTTTGTGGATATGCTTGGGTTGCCATTGTGATGGCCATGGCTTGTTTCAATGGCGAATTGATTTAGCAACAAAATAAATCTTGATATTTTGGAGGAGGTAATCTTTCCAGATATGATTGGTCATGATAGATTTTACCTAGCACAATTCGGTGCCACTTGTGGGATTGAATTAGAAGAAAAATGAATCCTAATACTTCACAAGAGCACGAGGAAAGAGTTGGTGACACCATGTAGACTAAACCAGAGTGTTCCTAGTAAGTTGTGAACAATGATGGAAATGACGACAAGCAACCCAAAAGGGATGGAAGGCCGAGAGGAGGGCATGAGCACCCCGCGATGATGAATACTCTACAAAGAATGATGTCTAGGTATGGAAAGAAAAGGTGGCTTGGAGGGATGCATCAATTTGTGCTTTCCCGATAAAGATGATGATGTACAAGGCTTCTAGCTATATATCGTTTCCTACCTTCAATTAGACATTTTGTGTAACTTAGGTCTAGTTTGGGAACCTTCTATTTTAGCCAAAAAGTCAAAAGTTACTAAATTAGCCAAAAAGCCAATAACCCATACCAAAAAGTCAAAGATTCTCTTTTCTCTCTACTTTTTGCACATCTTTTCGTAAAAAGCCAAAAAGTCATCCAAAACATACTAGTTTTTTTTAGCTTATATTTTAGCCAAATAACCAAAAAGTTACTAAATTAGCCTGTTCCCAAATGAGGCCTGAGTAACTCATTATTCTTTGGGTATTCAAAGGTGGATCTACATATTGTCATATCACATTCTATCTTTGGGGTGTTACATTAAGGGTAAGCCCAAAACAAAAATAAGATGGACTATGCCTTGCATGGATTTTTATTCGATTTCTCACATAGGCCAAGTGATAAAAAATTGAGGTTACAAAAATTGAAGCTGTCACTTGATTTTAAAGTCCAGGAACCATATTATGGATTGTTTTGAAAATTGACTTTTTAAATAAATTTTATTTTTTATTTTTTTGAAAAGACTAAAAAAAAGTAGAGAGAAGAGAGATTTTTTTTTATACTGGTTTTTTTAGTTTTTTGGCTCAAATTGTATGTTCTCAAAAGAGGCCTATGACACTATCACTTGGTCTCAATGTTTAACCACAAAGCATGTATAGACCGAAAATCATCCATAAAATGGGAAAGAGGCAAAAAAAGGGGTAAAACATTCACAATCAAAGTGATAACAATATTAATCCATAAAGAGGGCTTAAAGAAGCGGGAAAACAAAATAACTAATCTATCAAAATTGAGTGGCCAACCTATATGTATGAAGCCAACAATGGTTTGATTGCATATGGGTCATATGTGTATATAAATAAATTACGAAAGCAAACTACTAGTAGAAACTCTACATAATCAAAATAGAAAACTAAAACATAACTAAGAAAATGCTAAACCTTTCAAAGTGTAAAAACCACTATGGGAAATACCTCACATCCCTCAAGTTCTCCTTCAAAGAAGAACTTCAGATTTGCCTTTGGATGACTACACTGAAGACACACTCAAAACAAAAGTTTTGAACTAGTGGCCAAGTCTTAGCATAAAGTTGCTAGACAACCTGGATTCTTCTAAGTGTAGAGCAAACCTAAAGAACTATTGATTCTGAATTCTTGAATGAAAAATAATGGACGTGAATGGGGGTTTATATATGCTTCAGATAACAAGTTTTAAGCTAGAAAAATGGTGTGAGATTCACAAAAACGAAGCATGATTAGATTAACTGCACAGCTGAAGGGCTAAAAAGAGAAATATGCCACCATGAGTAAACCGGGCCATAGAGTTGGTCCGTTCCTCCAACATGGCTGGTCTAGCCATGCTCTCGCCCAGAAAAAGTGGCCTATGGCCTATGAAGCATGTGTATGGTATGAGTACTGGTCCTGGTACGATACCGATACGTCGATACGGTAAAATTTTTAGAAAGTAGGGTACAGGTACGACTTAGTATGCTTGTAAAAAAATATTTATTTTTAATTTAGAATAATGTAAAAATTAATTAAATGGTTTAATTAGTTAATATCCAACCCATAATTAACATTTAATGTAAAAAATAAAGGTATAAATCAAAATTAAATGTCAATATATTAAATAATTTACAAATCATAGTTTAATTTTAAAATCATATGAAGTATAAAACTAAAAATAAAAAAGAAGTCTAGTGAAAGGAGTTTTACTCTGTAGGTATGACTTGGTTATATACTAGGTACGTTTGGGTACGCTTAAAATTAAGAATAAAAAATTTGAGTACGTGTTTCGTGTACCCAGTATGTATACAGAAGTATCATACCGTACACCGGTGAGTACCCGGTACGGGGTACGACATATTTTTCAAAGTACCCATGCTTCATAGCCCATGGCTGATCCGGGTATGTCCTGATTGTTGCTGATAAAAATGTGGGTAAATGTACGACTGAATTGTGCTTTCTCATTATTTGTGCATTGAGTATTTGTGAGATTGTTATTAACTGTAACATCGGAGTGCTTCCATGGTTCACGACAAACTGAGGTAGGTATTAACCTTGATTTTGCAGGTGTACATCTCAACGAGTACATCTTAATTATTGGTTTTGTTTCCTGATATCTCCAAAAAAAGGTAATTATCTCAGATTTTGTTATTTGTGTAGTTAGATTTACCCCACACAGAAAGTATATACAATATTATGGTGTTTGAAAGTTGGTTTGATATTTCAACCTAAAAGGTCAGTGTCATGGAGTATATAATGAAATTTGTCAATAGAAAAGAAAA